AAGTATTTAATAAATTGGAGGAAAAGACTGAATATGCTTATGCTAACTTATTTCCCTTGCCAGTAATTCAGAATAGAGAATGAGAGGCAGAATAGTTCTGGTTGTTTAGTGATGCCTCAATTTAAATATTCCCATGACCACAGGCTTTTTGATTAATTCATAATATAGGAATTTATCCCTCAGATATACTTTCACATGAGAAAAATGACATTTGTACAAAGTTATTCACTACAGTTTTAAATGTCATAACAAAACATTGGAAATAATCTAAATGTACAATAGATTAGTTACATAATCTACAGTACATCCATATAATGTGGTAATATGCAGTTATATAAAACAAGAAAATGCTCAAAATACTTATAGGGAAAAGCTATCCTAGCTATATTATAGTTAAGTTAAAAAAAACAAAGGTACAGAATAACATATAGTATGCAACCTTTTGTGTTAAAAAAGGTGGGAATAGGCCGGGCAAGGTGGCTCATGCCTGTAATCCTAGCACACTGAGGGGCCAAGGTGGGAGGACTGCTTGGGCTCAGGAGTTCGAGACCAGCCTGAGCAAGAGTGAGACCCCATCTCTACTATAAATAGAAAGAAATTACCCAAACAGCTAAAATCAGAAAAAATTAGCTAGGCACGGTGGTGCATGCCTATAGTCCCAGCTACCTAGGAGGCTGAAGCAGGAGGATCGCTTGAGCCCAGGAGTTTGAGGTTGCTGTGAGCTAGGCTGACACCATGGCACTCTAGCCTGGGCAACAGAGTGAGACTCTGTCTAAAAAAAAAAGGTGGGAATAAATATATACACGTATATTTGCTTCTATTTGTATAAAGAAATTCCAATACAAGAAAACTAGTAACTGGAGTTATTTTTAGGGAGGTGGTAGGAGGTGGGTGAATAGGGAACAAGAGAGGAAGGGAGACTTTTCTCAGTAAAACCTTTTTGTTATTTTAAAATTTGTGAACCGTGTAAATGTATTAACTATTCAAAAAATTAGAATACAAATGTCCCCACAAGGCTAGAGAAAGAGCAAACTGAATAACTTTCATGCTGGGGCAGTAAAATGGAGACAAGGGCCAATCTCAGAAGGTGACTCTGGCAAGAAAGTTCTAGAAGTAGACTAGTTGTGGTCACTGGAAACCAGTGAAAAAAATATGTGGGTAGAGGCATGGGCATACACAAACATACGTAATGCCTTACCAGACACAAGCTGGAAAGGGTTCCCACAGTTGGAGATATCTGCATGATCTGGCAAAGGCTAAGAAAGAGAGAATATCCATCATGATTAAGGTTCAGGACACACTGACAGATTTCTAGGAAGCCCTCTTCAGTTCTCCCCTGCAATTCATGAGTTATAGGGATGTTAGAGACTCCAAAGTGTTCTCTTCCTCTTGTCTTCCCAAAGTTAGCGAGTAAAACAATCCGTATCTTCTAACATCTCAAACCCTTCTCCACCCATTTTGTTGTCCCTTCTCTATTAGTGGAAAAATCCCTGCCCCCTTCCTTTTGGGCTGGGTTTTGAGCCTTTAATGGGCTCTTCCAGTACAAGTACCATGATTCATACAGCACAGGACAAGGGTAAAGTAGTAGCAACAAACAGCCTCAGAAAAAAGGGGGAGGGGGTGGTGGAGAAGCAGGAAGACTGGTCTTTTACCAAACTGATGCTGAAGCGTGTGCATTTCAGCTCATCCAGAGTCTGCTTCTGTAGCTGCTCAGTGATCAGGGTTATCATGATTCTCCCCAGGATTTGACTTGCACACTTTGGAGCAAATGATGGATGTCTTCCCTGTTGTTCTTCCAGACCTCACTCGTGAGCCGTCTTCTGCCACTGCAGCACCATTCTAGCACCATTGGGACTTCCCTCTCCAGTCATGCCTCCTGAGTCTGCCAATTAGAGGGACCAGCCCCAGGTGATATTAGAAATGTACCTGGTCCAGAGATGGAAAATGCATGGCATACATACCACAGCACCCCTATGCCAGGCCTCTGGCAGACATCATAAATTGATCACAGCTCTTTCCTGCTAAGCCAAAATACCACCTGAGAAACATTCTGAACTTGGCACTCCAGATATCCAGTAGAGTAAATTGGAGTTTGGAATCAAGATGAAACTTATTTGCCACTCCTAAGCTGGTTTATGCTGTTGTTTCTAACTACAATTTCAGCACCACTTAGAAAACAGCTCAAGTGAGAGAAAGGGATGCCCAAATGGTTATTTCCATCCAGATCATCCCAGTATTTTATCCTCCAGTCAGAAAGGAAGAGAGGTACCCTTCTCCTAAACTACAGAAATAGTAATAGAGAACAGTGAGTAAATGGCAGTGGTTATAGGCATGACTTTCTACTTCACCAGAGTAATAGGATTTTATGTCTTTCCATAGCCTGAACAGCTGATATATTATTGTTTTCCAACAGATAACCTGTATTTTCTCTTATAAAATGGGAAGAGGATAAAGAAATGGTCAGGATAATTCCAATTACATTTCAACTCTACAGATGTTAAAAACAACAACTCCATGACTTCATGCAATTAAGTTTTTAGCCTGATTTGACTCAAAGATCATGGATACAATTAATTAAGATTCTTTCTCACGGTCAATTCCTAATAGAAGCAAACTAACTCTATCAGAGAACAGGTTTCAAACTCACACAATTACCTAAGGGGCCCTGCTCAAGAGAAAAGGGGAGGTTAACCCAGTGTCTTTATTTTGTTCTGCCTATTCCCAGAATGACCAGCAGGCAGACAGCTCACCAGAGAGTGTATGTAGCATTAGCAGTTGAGAATAAATGATCAAGAAATCTAAATCTTAATCCGAGTTGCTGTGATAGTTTTAGCAAATCATTTAACATTTCTCGGCCTCAGTTTATTCATATGTAAACTGGGCAGAATAATCTTAATCTGTCACAGGAACAATATAACATGAAATATCAAAATGTACAAAAGCATACCATCTGGCCTACAAAAAACAGGAGTCCACATCAACTACCATTTTTCATTCCTCCTGTTTGTGGCTCTTCAAAGCCTCAGAATGCCAAAAGTGATGATATCGTTAAGATAAAGATGTTCTCTCTCTCACTCGCTGGATGCCATCTTCCCTCACCTGAACACTAAGGGAAGCCCAAGAGGGTTCTTCTTTCTGTGACCTTGGGGGCAGATCACTCTCTACAAAAAAAGAGGGACTCATCTCTACCCCATTCGTACTTCAGAAGGAGGCCAGCCACACGGAAGAGCAAAGAAATACAGTTGGATGTACTTGGAGTTCTTTGGAAGAAAGGTGCATAAGTCAATCATCATTATAGTTAACTATCATTTTCATGCATAATTATTACCACCCTGAACAAAGTTCTAGCTTCCTGAGAGCCCCCTTCAGCTGCTTCCCCTATATTCTTGTAGAAGAAGCTAAAGCTTTTATCACTTCTGCTCTTGGTTTCTTAACTTTGCCCTCAAAAATCAACCAGAGAGGGAACCTAACTGCAGGCTTTTAACCTAGAGATCCCAGGCCTCAGGCTGACCAGCCATGAGGAGCAGGGAGTGAAGCAAACTTTCAAGCTTTTCAAGAGGCATTTGGACAAACAGCAAACTCCCCCAGTCCTTTCCAGGATCAAGTAAAAAGAGTGATTTTGTGTTTTTCTGCATTTTAATTGTTGGGATGTGGCCACACACAGCGGTAATTGGAACAATGCAACTACCACCAAGCAACTGATACTCTCAGCCTGAGTGTCCTAAAACAGGCCAGGCTGAGAGGGGGAACAGAACGGAAGCCATAAGGAATCAAACGAGGACACAAAAGAAGGCAAACCAGCTCCGCGAGGGGCCTCTTCTTTCTCAAGCAGGCATTGAAAAAAGTCTAAGAAGCCCTCTCTAGCCGCCTTCCTTCCCCTTCCATTTTGTATATCTGAGGGGTCGAGACAGCCCTGAACGTTCACCAAACAAGTTAAAACTTCTCAGCTTAACAACTGGCACCGGGCTCAGCCCTTCAAAACAGCAGGCCGCTAGGGCCTCCCAGCAACCCCACCAGGCCTAACTCTGAGTCCAAGATTTCCCTCCACCACCAGTCCCCTAAAATAAAGACCAGACCTCCACCCCATCTTTTATTAGGTGGCAGAAACCTCTGACACTCGTGTTTCAGGGATGCTGAGATTGTGCCGAAACCTGCACAACCTGGGATCAAGTCAGGCCAAGGGGGAGGAGAGTCACAAATCCCCAGGGGACCTTCCCCCCAGATCCCAGCCCCACACCTCTGGGGGAGACTGAAGGAAAACATGAGGCAGGCAGGGAAATGCAAGAACAGGTAAGTGGAGACCCAACTGCTCTTCTCCCATATGGTTCTGGTGGGGATGGGGTGACAAGTGGGAAGCACCCCTCCCCCCACCCAGATGAAGAAGCAAAAGGCTAGGCCCCTCCAATCTTCAACCTCTCCCTCTGTTGCCCTGCCTGTCCCCGCGGGGTGGGGCATGGGGCGTCCGCTAGTCCCGGTGGGGGGGGGGGAGCGCCAGGGCTCGCTCAGGGGGGCTGTCGCTTGCCTCTTCCCACTCAGGTTCCATCATCTGGCCGTGAGAAGCGAACTCAGGACGCAAGGGGATGGGGAGGGTCTAGGACTTAGCACTCCGCCACCCCCTCCCCCACTGGGTCCCGTGCTATCCCCGCGGAGGCGGCCTGCGAGGCCGGGCCGCGCGGGCGGCCGGACTGGGGGAAGGGAAAAAGGGAAGGAGGGAGGGACGGTCGAGGTGCCCGCCCCGAGGCCCCAGCGCCACCTGCCCTCCGCCACCTACCGCGGCTCCTCCAGCTCCCAGGGCCGCGGCCGGAGCAGCTCTGAGCGCTCCTTTCGCCCCACGGTGCCCTTAAAAGGCGCTGGCGCGAACCAACGAGTCCCTGAGGAGAGCGGGGTGATAGCTCCGGTCGGCAGAATCCCCCCGAACCGCCCGCAGAGGCCCAAGCCCCGTGTCGTTCCTCTCTCCAAGTCTTTCTCCGGTAGCGGTGTCGGCAACGAGCCTGGCGCTTTGATTTAGGAATGGGAGTGGTTTCCTCACCGAGGAGTCACCCCCTCCAAAAGATCGCAGAGAGTGGACGGGCCCAGTTGGAGGCATAGCTTGAAGCCCGCGGGGGAGGCCATGTCTGAAGAAGGTAAACAAAGCCCGCACCCCTGCCTTCCATTCCTACATCGGCCCCAAAGCAGCCGCCCGTTCAGGTCAGGCGGCGTGAGAGAATTAGCTACAGTGCCCCTCACCTGCTCTCCTGCCCCGCCCTCTACGGCCACTTCTCCGAAGGAATCCCCCTTCCCCCAGCAAAGGACCCGTCCGCGGCGCGAAGGCTGCTGGGAAGTGTAGTCCAAGCGCCCATTAGGGCCTGCTCTGAGTCCCAGGAACCCCTCTTCCAGCTGCCGGATCGCCTGGAACCTTAAAAATGCAGAATTTATAATGGTTGAGGGGCCGTTTCCACTTGGTTCTGTAATTTGTCCTCACGCAGAACACTTTGTAAAGCGCAGGATGGCCCGGGTCTTCTCGCTCCCTCTTCTCCCTCTCCCCCCCCCAGCAGGATGAGGTAATGGGATTGTGATTATGACATCATAGGCGGTTCAGTTGCTTGCGTGGGGAGGGGGAGGTGGGGGGAGAAGTACGGCCGTTACAGCTGGACCACTTTCCTTAAGACAGAAAGGGAGGGAGGAAACAGGCAGATGGGAAAAGATGTAGACGGCGCTCTATTTCCTCTTCAGGAAGAGGAAACACCTTTTATTAAGTCTCCATCGCTACCACCACCTCCCACCTCTGAACCAAAGTTTAAGTCCCTTTCAAAGAGATTAAATTCAGATGATAGTAGGTAAAGATGTAGGATAGATGTCTTCTGGCTCTTGTATAAATCTGAGTCTTAGCTAGCATCAAAGATGATTCAGAGACAAAAGCAAAAAAAAAAAAATGGGAAAAGAAGAGGTTTTAAACAATGTCTTTGTTGTGATCTCCTTGTAGGGCACAGTTTTAGATTTCGTTTTTAATTGATTAGAAAGTAGTAGTAATGTAAATAATCTTCACTATTAACACTTAGCAAGTCCTCTGAAAGATATTTTTCTCTAAATATTTTGTGCCCTACTCAAGACTGGAGCAGGTCAGTAGCTGGGATAAGCTAAAAAGTAGAGCCAGTGGTGGGGATCTTCTTTACTGAGCCAGGGAAAGGAAGAGGTAGGAACTGCCAAGTCTGCAAACTGAAAAAGAAGAGTAGAGGAAAAGTGAAGTACAGCACTAATCAAGAAAACCAGGGCTACCACATGAGTGATACACATGAAAAAAAAGAACGAAAGAAAGGAAAAACAAAAGAAAATGAGGGTTGAGAGATTTAGCTTGCACTGCACATTTTCCCCTTGGCAAAAGAGAAGGAGCAGAGGCAAGGGCCATGAAGTATAAGAGACATGGTGTCCAATAATTGTACTATGTGTCAGACCCCATGCTACATACTTTAAATAAATACATATTCTCGGCTGGGCATGGTGGCTCATGCCTGTAATCCTAACTTTCAGGGAGGCTGAGATGGGAGAATAGCTGCACCGAGACCCTAGAAACAACAAACAAACAAAAAAAAAAGACAAAAAAAAAAATACACAAGGCCAGCACTCTGGGAGGCTGAGATGGGAGGATCTCTGGAGGTCAGGAGTTTGAGACCAGCTTCAACAAGAGTAAGATCCTGTCTCTACTAAAAATAGAAAAAAATTAGCTGGACAACTAAAAATATATAGAAAAAATTATCTGGGCATGGTGGCGTATGCCTGTAGTCCCAGCTACTCAGGAGGCTGAGGCAGAAGGATTGCTCGAGCCCAGGAGTTTGAGTTTGCTGTGAGCTAAGCTGAGGCCACGGCACTTGAGAATGGGCAACAGAGCGAGACTCTGTCTTAAAAAAATAAAAAAAATACACAAAACCAACAAAACCCAGCCGAGTGCTCTGGCAAGTGCCTGTAGTCCCAGCTACCTTGGAGGCTGAGGCAGAAAGATCACTCACAGCCCAGGACCTGGAGTTTGCAGTGACCCACTGTCACTGCATTCTACCCAGGACACTGAGTGACACTCTGTCTCCACAAAAACAAACAGGAAACCAATACATATTCTCATTTTTGTTTATAATAAAATGAAACAAAATCTTGTTATTTGACAGATGAAACAGCCCAAGATGTTAAGTGACTGCCCATGTGGTAGGCAAACATAGCATCAGAAAGCAGTCTGGGACTCTAAAAGCCCTCATTCTTCAGCACTAGGCTGTTCCCCTTTTTATTATTAACTGTGCTTACTAAAGTTAAAAGGTTAAGTAAAAGAAGTAAGCATTGGCTCATTTGCAAAACATTGAAAAATTGAGATACTTTACAGCCCAACACCCCTGCCCATAATTAAATATCCTTATGCCACTTTTAATTTGAGGTTTTTTTACTCATTCCTGCTATGTTTCTCTGCTGCCCATTTTTGTTCTTGGACCACTACTTTGAACCCTGTCTTAATTGTGCCCTCCTGGGCCAAACCTCATCTCTGTCCCTGCTCCAATGGGTTTCAGCAGAGGATACTACTTGGGCCCTCTTCTGGTCTCCATTCATATTCTCTGAGGGTTCTAGGGCCTGGAGCCAGTCATCCAGGAGGTCACCCAAAGGGATGGAATCCATTGGCTTTAAGACACTCTGCATTCCCTGCCCAGGAAGGTAGCAGAGTAAGAGTAACATGCGCTCATTCAGACCCTCCCTTTTCACCCAGTGAAAGCTAAATCTCTGCAAAGTGAGGAAGTAGAGAACATACCCCTGTGCCCCCTGCCCTGCAGAGACTGGCTGGGAAGGGTCCCAGGAATGTAGGGCTCTTCTCCACTGCCTGATCTGGGCATCCCAGAAGCGATGGCTATACTTCCTATTCTTGTTTGGTGTTTGAGGGTGAAGCCCTGGCTGTCACTGTGCCCTGGCAACAACAAATATAGGTCACAGTGAGGTCAAGGTGAAAAGACACAGCTCATTGCTTATCACAGTAAATCAGGAGCCTATGTAGGGATTCTCCAAGAATGACATAGGATCAATTTCCTCAATCCAAGAGAAAAAGTAAATCTTCAAATTAGATTAAATACCAAACTAATACCAAACTTCCGACTCACTAAGATTCTTTAAAGATATTCTTTTTCTTTTTTTCTTCTTTCAGAGAAGGTCTCTCTTTTTTGCCTAGGTTAGAGTGCAGTGGTGTCATCATACATAGCTCACTGCAATCTCAAACTCCTGAGCTCAAGTGATCCTCCTGCCTCAGCCTTTCAAGTAGATGGAACTACAAGTGTATACCACCATGTCTGGCTAAGTTTTCTTTCCTTTCTTCCCCTCCCCTCCCCTCCACTCTCCTCCCCTTCCCTCTCCTCTCCTTCCTCCTTTCCCCCTCCCCCTTCCTTTTCCCTTCCCTTCCCTTTCCCTTCCTTTTCCCTTTCCCTTTCCCTTTCCCTTTTTTCCTTTCCTTTCCTGACAGAGTGTTGGTCTGTCTGCACTGGCTAGAGTGCAATGGCGTTATCATAGGTCACTGCAACCTCAAACTCCTGGGCTCAAGCATCCCAGGTAGCTGGGACTACAGGTACAGGCCACCACACCTAGCTAACTTTTTCTATTTTTAGTTGAGATAGTGTCTGACTTTTGCTCAGATTGGTCTTGAACTCCTGGTCTCCAGCAATCCTCCTCCTGCCTTGGCCTCCCAGAGTGCTAGGATTATAGGTGTGAGCCACCATACCCCGCTACCCACTCCCTAATATTATTCTTGTGGAAAGGGTAAATGAGATATATTCCAAGTACTTCAGAAATCAAGATATATATAAAAGATAATATTTTACTTCACTTCAAAATAATTCTAGTTTTTCACATCAGTTTGTATGTATGCATGTAAACTTGCATGTAATTAGTCAAGTATGTTGCAATTAGCTAAGTCAGCTGGAGTCATGAGGAGATGGTAAAAGTGGAAGGAAAACCACCTCATTGGGAAACAGAGAGAGAGCTTTTAAAAGTCTTTTTTTTTTTTTGAGGCAGAGTCTTACTCTGTTGCCCGGGCTAGAATGCCGTGTCAGCCTAGCTCACAGCAACCTCAAACTCCTGGGCTTAAGCAATCCTTCTACCTCAGCCTCCCGAGTAGCTGGGACTACAGGCATGTGCCACCATGCCTGGCTAATTTTGTCTATATTTTTAGTTGGCCAATTAATTTTCTTTCTATTTTTAGTAGAGATGGGGTCTTGCTATTGCTCAGGCTGGTCTTGAACTCCTGAGATCAAATGATCCTCCCACCTCGGCCTCCCAGAGTGCTAGGATTACAGGCGTCCCTAAAAGTCCTTTTTTTTTTTTTTTTTCAGAGACAGAGTCTTGCTGTGTTGCCCAGGCTGGCCCCAAACTCCTAGGCTCAAGCAGTAGTCTCAAGTAGTCTCTCGAGTAGCTGGGACTACAGACATGTGCCATTGAATGCTTGTTCCATTTGAGAACACCTCAGAAACTTATTTTGGGGGGCTGGATTAGTTTTAGTAATGCTGCAACTTTGTCAGAGCACTCCAATTGTAATATCTTTCCATCACCTGACAATGAGCCAAAGCCACTCGGATGACACCTTTGTTTTGACCACCCACAACTGCACTCACTTGGGGATCTGCTGTAGAAAGCACTGGTAGCCAGGTGTACACTTGCCATAATCTATCTGCTTTTGCTGCCATTGCAGAACAACTTCATCTGTCTCTATTTCCCACCTACAGGGAAGTGTAACAGTGTCACACAAAGTGTTATTATACTATAGTCATCAAAGCAGAAATCAACTCATCCCACACTCCCTTAATCCCCAGCCTGATTTTCAAACTCACCTGGCATGGCAAGGCTCTGTGCTGACTCACATACTCACTGTCTTTATCTTAGAGGACAAAGACTCTTCACACACCTTCTTTCTGGGAAGTAGGTTCTACAGATAAAAAGGGTACTAGGATAAAACCCAGCTGACTACATTGTGCCTCTTAGCCACTACCACCACCAAGATCCTGACATCAGACAAAAGTTGTATTTCTGACTTGTTTATCAAAGATTGAGTTTTTATTTTTGACTTTTGTTTCTCAAAGTGTGTTCTGCAAGCCATTTGCATAGGTAGCACCTGCGGACCTTGATAATTTCTAGACCCCACTCTGGACCTATTGAATCATCATTTTGGGAGCCTGCATTTTAAAGAGCTTCTGAGGTTAAGCATTTTTTTTTATCATGGAAATTTTCAAATATACACTGAAGTACAGTGTAGCATAATGCCTTACTACTCAAAATATGGTCCCAGGACCATCTACATCAACTGTGAAGTTGTTAGAAGTGCAGAATCTTAGGCTGCAACCTGACCTACTGAATTAGAATCTACGTTTTTTTTTTTTTTTTGAGACAGAGTCTCACTTTGTTGCCCAGGCTAGAGTGAGTGCCGTGGCATCAGCCTGGCTCACAGCAACCTCAAACTCCTGGGCTCAAGCGATCCTTCTGCCTCAGCCTCCCGAGTAGCTGGGACTACAGGCATGCGCCACCATGCCCAGCTAATTTTTTCTATATATATTAGTTGGCCAATTAATTTCTTTCTATTTATAGTAGAGACAGGGTCTCGCTCTTGCTCAGGTTGGTTTCGAACTCCTGAGCTCAAAGGATCCACCCGCCTCAGCCTCCCAGAGAGCTAGGATTACAGGCGTGAGCCACCGCGCCCGGCTTAGAATCTACATTTTAACAAGATCCCCAGGTATTTAGTATGCACATTAAATTATTGAGAAGCACAAATATTTAATATAAGAGACCCCTGTGTTCCCTATCACCCAACACTCATGGACAATTTTGTCTCATGAGTACCCACTCCCACGGGATTATTTAAAAGCAAATGCCTAACATTAAGAATTTTTTTGTTTGTTTGTTTTTGAGACAGAGTCTCCCTTTGTTGTCCAGGCTAGAGTGAATGCCCTTGTCAGCCTAGCTCACAGCAACCTCAAACTCCTGGGCTCAAACAATCCTCCTGTCTCAGCCTCCTGAGTAGCTGGAACTACAGGCATGTGCCACCATGCCCGGCTAATTTTTTCTATATATATTAGTTGGCCGATTAGTTTCTTTCTATTTATAGTAGAGACGGTCTCGCTCTTGCTGGTTTCTTGCTGGTTTCGAACTCCTGACCTCGAGCAATCCGCCCTCCTCGGCCTCCCCGGGAGCTAGAATTACAGGCGTGAGCCACCACGCCCAGCCAACATTAAGAATTTCTAAATATCACCTAGTCTGTGTTAAAATGTCCATAAACAACCACGGTTTTAAGATCCTTGGGGCCATGGTGAGGATTATGTCAAAAGATGATTCAACTCCCCTACTTTCCTTGAAAAGTAATTTATGTTTACCCACATGACCTAGTGTCTCTCAGTTGCTGCGCACGAAAAGGGACATCGAACAAAGAAAGCTTTTGCAAGGGGGCTCAGCATCAACACACACACCTGTCTCGCCCCAACACCTGCCACACCAGCGGCCAGTACTCCATCTCCAGCGGAAGGATAGCGAAACTAAGAAGGAACGGTCTATGTAACGACACGCGAAAGATGCAAGAAAACGAAACGCTTAAGACATCCTTCCCTTCAAAATAATCTCTTTCGTATCATCGCAGCTAATGGTCACCGCCAGTGAGGCGCAATTTAAATCTCCCGGGGTTCGAGAGGAGGCGGGAACCTAGGGCACAGAAAGGGCGTGGCGATTGGCCAGAGGGAGAGCCAATGGTGCGCCAGGCTCTATGTGGGGTGGAGCTTACCCAGCGGCGTGCCTAACGCTGGTGGACCAATGGTCATCCTGCTCTGGCTCCCGGGCGGGGCAAATCTTGCCCCTTCCGGAGCAAGCTCACTGCCTCCGGGCGGGGGGGAGGGAGTCTGGGCGCGCGCGCGGAGATTGGCTGACGCAGCTGAGAGGCGAGCGGGGATAGGTTATGGAGAGGGCGGAAGGTTTGAACGGTCAACGCCTGTGGCTGTTGGTATCCTTAGCACAGAGGCCATAACTGCGGCCTTCTGTCTGGTGTAGCAGCTAACCCAGACTCTGACCTACGCGTTCGAGAAGCGGAATTGTAGTCTGGGTACTTGCACCCCTTGCCCAGATTTCCTTTCATTCTGCTCGAGTCTTCGCTTGTGTCGATCCCTAACCACTCTCCTTTCTCCCTCAGGCAAGTCTCAGACTCCAAACTTGAGGTAAGCGCGCAGCCGTCTCCCCCGCGGAATCACGGGGACCCCTCTGCCCCCTTTGGTTGCAGTCGGGAGCCCGCAAACGGAAGTTCGGAGGACCGAATGGGCATGATTCCAAGTTAGGAGACCTGAGTACCTTCCCTTGAGGAGTCTCGAGCTGGGTGTCCCGGAACAAGACAAAGTCCTCTCTTCTTTTTACCTTTAAAAATCCCGAGGTTGCCTCTCGTCAGTAAGTTCAGGTTCCAACGAAAAGACCAAGCCGCTTCCAGCCAAGTGTGATTTATGATTTAACCTTCAAGCCAAGTTGTCAGTCACCCTTCGGGGCTGCCTCTTCTCCAATACTGATCCGCCTGGCTGGAAAGGGTGAAGGAATTTGGAAGATGAATGAACTGTGATGTACCTGTGTAGATGGTGTTCTCCTTCTCCCAGCTAGGTTTTGTTTTTTTCTCTTGGTAAGAACTCGGAGACCATGTCTACAGAACTCATCTCATCCACAAGAGAAGAGGAAAGCTCTGGCTCAGGACCCAGTTATAGGTCCAATAAGAGGAAGATGTTAAACCTGCTCCTGGAGAGAGACACTTCCTTTACCGTCTGTCCAGATCTCCCTAGAACTGCAGTGGACAAACTCCTTGGTGATTCTGCAAACCTAAGCATTTTGTCTGGGTAAATCCACTTTTATTTTTACACCTTACCTCCTTTGCTTTTCTAAACAGCTGGGCGTTTTTAATTGTTTTTTAAATTATCTTGGCTCCAAGGTCAAGATTTAAGTTTAAGCTCTCATCTTAACTGTGTGACCCTTTTGAGTCTCTGGCTTCTTTTCTGTGACATAGAAATAATAATCTCTTCCTATTTTACTAAGATCTTGTGAGAAACAAAAGTTATGATGAATAGGAAAAGTCTCAGAAAACTATATTGCATTATATGAGTTGGGCACTCCAGTAGTATTAATATTAGTGTTGTTGTACTTTAAATTATGGTCATGCCATGTCCTGATGCCTCAGCTAGCAAACACAGGGAAGCACGTGAGAAGTACTAGAGACTTCAGGGAGAAATCAAATCCCTTCGTTCATGGTACACAGGGTAGAGGATGTAGGGTCAAGATACCCCACCACCACTAGCCAATAAACTTTGAGCCTCATTTAAAAAAAAAAATTATCCTGTCTCAAAATGTTGGTAAGGAGTAACTAAGGTACAGATTATTGTACTGGGAGGGTTTTCTCAGCCCAGTCTGTTTCCAAAAGACAATTAGATTTATCTGGAGCTGTTCAGATTATCTGATAGTCATTGAGAAATGTTTCAAATGAAGAGGATAACATAATCTTTGCCTTTTAAGGATATTACAACCTAATGGGAATCTTGATGTACTATTATGTCTCAACAGAGGAACCCCAAAACGTTGCCTTGATCTTTCAAATCTTAGTGGTGGGGAGATGTCTGCCACTCAGTTTACCACTCCTGCAGACCTTGATGAAACTGGTAGGAAAAAGGGAGGTAAAGGCCTCAAAGGGAAGAATAACTTTTAAGGAAGAAGACAGGGTAGAGGATAGAGATGGAAGGTGGTAAAGGTGGGTAGAGAGCCTATTTAAAGGGATGGAATTTTGTGGGTAACTGGAAGAATGATTAAACCAATGGGGAGAGAAAAATAATAATAGGAGTCACTTTGCATTTGAACAAATTAAACAAGAAGGAATATATTTTGTTGACTGATTAATCGTGGGAATGAAAGTACAGTAGTTAGAATATGAGATGTTTTGTGCCCTAGTCTAATCTCAGCATTAAGACAAATGTTGTCAACTAATTCTTATGTGTTTTTATAGGTCTGTGCCCAAAAGGAATTTTTTTTTTTTTTTTTTTTTTTTTTGAGACAGAGTCTCACTTTGTTGTCCAGGCTAGAGTGAGTGCCGTGGTGTCAGCCTAGCTTACAGCAACCTCAATCTCCTGGGCTCAAGTGATTCTGCTGCCTCAGCCTCCCGAGCAGCTGGGACTACAGGCATGCGCCACCATGCCGGCTAATTTTTTCTGTATATTAGTTGGCCAATTAATTTCTTTCTCTTTATAGTACAGATGGGGTCTCACTCTTGCTCAGGCTGGTTTCCAACTTCTGACCTCGAGCAATCTGCCCACCTCAGCTTCCCAGAGTGCTAGGATTACAGGCGAGAGTCACCATGCCCGGCCCCAAAAGGAATTTTTTGTTGCTGAACCATTCTAGTATTCTAATTTCAAATTTCCTGAGTGATAAGCTTTCTTTTCTACTCATGAAAAAAATCTCTACAGGTTAGCATAGTGCACTGCTTCCCATCAGTTTTTCAGTGACATATGTAAATTCTTAAGTCTCCATGAAATTGTACTTTTTACCTTATACCACAAAATGAGTACTAATCAAGGGGCTTTGTGTTCAAAAGCTCAGGCTTTGAAATTAATATGGCTTATTGGTAATGAAAAAAATCTAAAGGAAAAACAAGATGCATAGACAAGAATAACTCCTCTACTGATTCTTCATATCTGATTGCAGGTCACTTGGATTCTTCAATATCTCAAGAAATACAGTTAGCTGAGATGTAAGTTCTGTTGCTAAATTAACTCCATGCTAAAGCCTTTCAGCACTGGTCATGGGGGATTTTATCCTATGCAGACTCTGCAGAGTATAAAACCTTTCACTTTGGGTATAAGTGGGTTTTGAGGCCTAGATCTTTACCTTGAACAGCTTTTAAATTTCCCAGATCTAAATAATGTTGTGAGGGCCGGGCATAGTGGCTCACATCTGTAATCCTAGCACTCTGGGAGGCTGAGGCGGGAGGATCGCTCAAGGTCAGGAGTTCAAAACCAGACTGAGCAAGAGTGAGACCCTGTCTCTACTAAAACTAGAAAGAAATTAATTGGCTAACTAAAAAATATATATAGAAAAAATTAGCTGAGCATGGTGGCACATGCTTATAGTCCCAGCTACTTGGGAGGCTGAGGCAGAAGGAGCGCTTGAGTCCAGGAGTTTGAGGTTGCTGTGAGCTAGGCTGACGCCATGGCACTCTAGCCTGGGCAACAGAGTGAGACTCTGTCTCCAATAATAATAATAAATAAATATATAAATAAATAGTGTTGTGAAAATGAAGACTATTCATTTTAATCATCACACACAATCAAAAGTATCTTCAAAAACACAGGAAAATGTATACTGCAGTTGTGGGTAGGCTTTAATTTGCATGTGAGAAGTGCTGTACCTTAGTGATTAAAAGTGCAGAGTGCAGGCTCTGGAATCAGAGTTTCTGGATTCCAGCAGCTTCCTACTTTACCATCTGTGACTCTGACAAGTTTCTTAACTTCATTGGACCTCAGTTTCTTTATTCATAACATGGAAATAATAATACCACTTTTCATAAACAGCTATTGTAAGGATTAAATGAAAATGTGTATCTAGCACATATAAAACATTTTATAATGTTTATTATTATTATTATGTTGGAGATCCTAAAATGTTTAGTCAGGAAATACTAAAGGAATAAAAACTAATTTTAATTCAAACCTTCTTAAACTTATTGTAAATTTTCTACTTGGCTGTTTTAATCTTTTTGGAACTTTATCCTTTTATGTTTAGGTGAATTAGATGCTACTTTAGCACACTAGAGAAGGCTTTCTATGACAATTTTTACCAGTACATGTGAAAATTTCATTTGAATTGCTTGTATTTTCTTTGAATTACTTTAAATGGCCTAGCCCATATCAATTTGATAAAATCCTGGGAGAGAGGATAGAAATTCATTAAAAAAATTAACCCCCAATAGTCAATGTTGGAAAATTAGTAAATTGTAAATTGTGTCTCCCTAAGATGTAGGACAAACTTATTCATCTTTGTATATCTACATACATGGTTATACAAGTGGGATGAGTGGTTTATCCCAGGATTTCACTCAAGTCTTGATAATATACCACAGAGAATACCCTATGTATTGTTATTGGAAGAGATATATCAACTAGGAATAGGGCTCCTAGAATGAAAGGAAAAGTTGGGATGCCCCAACCCTCTGAAAAATAATAAAACAGTATTTGGGGCTTACCTGACTGGCAGTTTGTTTTAATCTGTAGGAATCATCACCAACACCTTATGAAATGCAGTCCAGTGAGTAGCCCTTCTTGTTTGGGTTTATGTTTGTTTCTCAGGTGGGAGGCAGAGGGTTTCCAACTCACCTGTGGCTTGAAGATGCTGGATATTCTCAACAAACACTCTCTTTTAGGCACAGCTTCTTTGTAGCACTCCAAATGGTTTGGACCATGGCCACAGAAAGAAAGATGCAACGTGTAGATCATCTGCAAATAAAGAAAATGTGAGTGTTTAATGGAAGCCTAGATATATTAGTGGTTTTATTCCTTTGAGTGAAGCAACTCATTGATATCACTGTGAGATCTAGAGCTATTTATACCGAAGTACACTGGACAAGCAAATTACATTGCTGTAGGGAAAAGAAGTCTTTGTTTTGTTTTGTTTTGTTTTTTTGAGACAGAGTCTCACTTTGTTGTCCAGGCTAGAGTGAGTGCCATGGCATCAGCCTAGCTCACAGCAACCTCAAACTCCTGGGCTCAAGCGATCCTCTTGCCTCAGCCTCCCGAGTAGCTGGGACTACAGGCATGCGTCACCATGCCCGGCTAATTTTTTTCTATATATATTAGTTGGCCAATTAAGTTCTTTCTATTTATAGTAGAGGCGGGGTCTTGCTCTTGCTCAGGCTAGTTTTGAACTCCTGACTTCGAGCAATCCGCCCGCCTCGGCCTCCCAGAGAGCTAGGATTACAGGCGTGAGCCGCCGCGCCCGGCCAGTTTTGTTTTGTTTTGTTTTGTTTTGTTTCTCATTAGAGTTTGACCCTAGGACAGAAATCTACTTCCAAGTCCTGTATAGCAGGTCATAATTATTACTTATGTTCAGTTGATCAGTTTGAGGACAAAAATTACTATTACTGCAGAGTAAGGAATTTAGGAGTTCTTTTTTTATTTTTAACAGATATGGATAACTTATACAACTTATTCACAGATTCTTTTCATGACTTTACATTCAAGAGTAGATTTCTTAGTTTCTTCTTATTTCCCACTTAGTCTAGCTTTTTAGCCCCTATTCTGAGGAAGCCATAGTTCCTTTTATCTAAGCCTTATGCCATCCTTCAATTCCAAGTTGAAACTGGTCTCTCCAGAGCTACCTAATCACTAAGATAATTCTCTCAACTAATTCCCTTTTCTAGACATCTTTTTTCTTCCCTGCCTGCCATTCCTTTCCCCAGGTCAGTATGCATAAAAGATAGCTGCTGTTCTTTTCTTACATTGATTAAGATATGCCTATGGTTTTGGCTGTTCTGATCAGCTTTTTCTTGATTTAATACTATCCTTCTAATCTCCCTTTATATTCACTTTTATAAATCTCACCATTCCCTTCCTAGGCAGACTCCTTCTCATCCCCATCCCTTTTACTTGTGACCATTAAATGAATGTCCTTCAAAGCAAATCTACATGCCATACATCAAATCTAAACCATAATTTGCATCTTCAGAATATAAGGTTAACCTTCATTACGTTTAATGTATTTTGTGAGAGTTATTCATGGCTTCATCAGATGAAATGTTTTTGGCAGGGCCAGCTAACAATTCTCTTCCTCCAGCTAATGCAGATTTTCTTATGCAGGAAAACAACACTTTGAAGCCCTTGAAGTTGCAGGCACCCATGAACCTGAGGTTTCAAAAGAGATCAGAGGGGCCTTATGTGTCTCCCCTTTCTCTGCTGGTGAGTCACTGAACATCATCATTAGGGGTCACTTGAGGTGTAGGATATCAGCTCTGGATTTGTGACCCTTTGAATTTTTCTAAGCTGGATTGGATGAGAAAAGGGGTTGTAAAAGAAAGTTTGAGCAGGGAAAGGTGGGAGCCATATGTCCTCTGATCTTTTGTTTAGATTTAAGGAAAAATTTTTCTTAGACCTTTTTTTCCCTTCTATTTTATGTATAAAGAATACTTTATTTTTTATTATTATTATTATTTTTTTTTACAGATGAAGTCTCTCTATGTTGCCCAGGGTAGACTCAAACTCCTGGGCTCAAGAGATCCTCTTGCCTCAGCTGGGACTGAAGGTGTATACCATTGTACCCAAATTAAAGAGTACTTTTTCTTTTTTATTCTTTCCCCTCTGATTTTAATTTTTGTTGTCATTGTTGAGACAGAGTCTTGCTTTGTCGCTTGGGCTAGAGTGCTGTGGCATCAGCCTAGCTCACAGCAACCTCAAACTCCTGGCCTCAAGTGATCCTCCTGCCTCAGGCTCCTGAGTAGCTGGGAATACAGATGTGTGCCACCATGCCTGGCTAATTTTTTCTATTTTTAGTAGAGACAGGGTCTCGCTCTTGTTTAGGCTGGTTTTGAGCTCCTGACCTTGAGCGATCCTCCTTCCTCAGCCTCCCAGAGTGCTAGGATTATAGGCGTTAGCCACTGTGCCCGGCCAGTTCTTTATATATTCTGATATTAAGCCCTTGTCAGATATATGATTTGCAAATATTTTCTCCCATCCTGTGGATTGCCTTTTCACTTTCATTTTATTTTTGTAGAGACAAAGTCTTACTGTGTTGCCCAGGCTGGAGTTTAGTGGTGCCATCAAACTCCTGGGTTCAAGTGACTATCCTGCTAGGCCTACAGGCATGCACCACCATGCACAGCTAATTTTGTGTGTGTGCGTGTGTGTGTGTGTGTGTGTGTGTGTGTGTGTGTGTGTAGAGTCAGGGTTTCACTGTGTTGCCCAGGCTGGTCTTGAACTCCTGGCCTCAAGTGATTCACCTGCCTCCCCTACTCACTTTTTTAATAGTATCCTTTGACACATAAAAGGTTTTCAGGCCGGGCACGGTGGCTCACGCCTGTAATCCTAGCACTCTGGGAGGCTGAGGCGGGTGGATCGCTCAAAGTCAGGAGTTCGAAACCAGCCTGAGCGAGAACGAGACCCCGTCTCTACTAAAAATAGAAAGAAACTAATTGCCCAACTAAAAAATACATACACAAAAAATTAGCCAGGCATGGTGGCGCATGCCTGTAGTCCCAGCTACTTGGGAGGCTGAGGCAGCAGGATTGCTTGAGCCCAGGAGTTTGAGGTTGCTGTGAGCTAGGTTAACGCCACGGCACTCACTCTAGCCTGGGCAACAAAGTGAGACTCGGTCTCAAAAAAAAAAAAAAAAAAAGGTTTTCATTTTGGCAAAGACCAATTATCCATTTTTTTCTTTTGTTATCTGTGTTTTTGGTATCATTATCCAAATCCAGTGTCATGAAGCTTTTCCCCTGTGTTTTGTTCTAAGAGTTTTATAGTTTTAGCTCTCACATTTTTAGGTCTTTGATGTATTTTGAATACTTTTTAACGTTGTCAATATACTTCATAGGACAATGGAAACTTGGTGGAAAGTGAAATGAAGTATCTGGGCAGTCCCATCCCTACTTTCCCCAAAGTGGATCAAAGTTCAGATCTAGATGACCAGGCAGAAGAGATTTCAGATGAATTGATGGGGTTTTCCCTGGAAGATCAAGAGGCCAAGGTAAAGTGTTCTCCCATGCTATCTTTGCATTCTTCTCATTCCTTCATTCTGATAAAAGAAAAACTTTAGACAAATTAAATTTAGTAGAATTTATTTGACCAAAGAATGATTAGTGAATTGGGCACCCCTCAGAACCAGAACAGATTCTGTGAAGCTCTAATCTACCACATGGTCAGGCAGCATCACATGGACCGAAAATGGAAGTGAAATACAGAAAATAGAAGTAAGGTGTAAGAGACAGCAGCGTGATTGGTTACAGCCCAGTGTTTGCCATATTTGAACATGGTTTGAACAGTAGGTTGCTTGCAATTGACTGAAGCTCAGCTGCTGTTATTGTCTGAGACTCAGCTATTTGTTACAAAAGTATATTCCTAAGTTAGGCTTTCAGTTAGTTTATGTACTACTATGTACTTTATGTATGTATGTAGTTTATGGACTAGATTGCAATTTGTTATGTAAGGGCTCCAGCACAGACGCATCCTTAGGTCAAATTTAGTAATTCATTCTAATTCATTAATTTAACAATTCATTCTTGAATAAACTATATTGTATGTCTAATATGTTGCAGCCACTGTACAAAAAGCTAGGGCTGCAGAGATCCAGAAGGTGTGGTCTTTAGACACTGAGAGCTACCTGATTGATAGAGTGTCAGGTTACCATGGGAATCTTACTGTTGGGTAAGCAGGTTCCAGTCAGTAGTTTGAATAGATCACCATCAGAGTAATCTGGTATAAGTGATGACTCCAGAACAACAGTAATATTTAAATATACCTAAGATGATTTCTTAGGTATTTTATAATATATTCTTTTGTTTCCTTTTATCCTCTCCATATCTGAAGCCTGTGACTTATAGGCTATGTATTGATATGCCAAAGACAGTTTCTGAGGCATTTAGCATTTCTGAATCAACTTCATTTCTGTGAAATAAGTAGGACTGTGGGTATGTGTTTATTTTTTAACTTACTCTTTTTATAAGGTAAATATGGTATAGTGGAGTTAGACCACCTGGATTCTAGTCCTCATTGTCTTATTTACTAGTGATATGACCATTTGCAAGATAATTAACCACTTTAGGCCTCAGTTTTTAATTTATAAAATGGAGAACATAATTTTTTAAAAGCCCCCAATAGAATTGTTGTGAATATGAAAACACACACACACACACACACACACACACAAACTATGGTGAAGGATGTGTTAATTAATTTGATTATGATAACTGTTACACAAATGTATACATAATTATCACATTGTAAATCTGGAATATATACAATTTTTGGCAATTATACCTCAATAAAACTGGAAAAATTTTTTTTCTTTCTTTTTTTGTTTGTTTTTTTGAGGAAAAAAATTTTTTAGGCTGGGTGCAGTGGCTTACACTTATAATCCTAACACTCTGGGAGGCCAAGGTGGGAGGATCACTTGAGGTCAGGAGTTAGAGATCAGCCTGAGCAAGAGCCAGATCTTGTCTCTACAAAAAATAGAAAAAATTAGCCGGGCTTTGTAGTGTGTACCTGTAGTCCCAGCTACTCGGGAGGCTGAGACAGGAGCATCACTTGAGCCAAGGAATTTGAGGTTGCAGTGAGCTATGATGATGCCACTGCACTCTAGCCAGGGTGACAGAGGAAGACTCTGTTTCAGAAACAAAAAATTTTTTTAAAGCAGTTTGTAGGACAGTACTTGTCCTCTTATTCATGGGGAATATGTTCCAAGACCCACGGTGGATGCCTGAAACCATAGATAGCACTGAACCCTGAAAAATACTACCTTTTTTCCTGTACATACATACCTATGATAAAGTTTAGTTTTTAATTAGGCAGAGTAAGAGATTAACAATAATAACTAATAATAAAATAGAACCATTCTAACAATACACTGTAGTAAAAATTATGTGAATGTGGTCTTTCTCTTTCTCAAAATACTGTAATATTTTCAGGCCAGAGTTGAATGCAGCTAACTGAGACTATGGAAATCAAAACCATGGATAAGTAAAGACTACTATACTCCACATACTTTATTGTTATTATTATTTTTTGAGACAGGGTCTCTCTCTATTGCCCTGGGCCAGGGGGCAGTGGCATCATCATAGCTCACTGCAACCTCAAACTCCTGGGCTCAAGTGATCCTCCTGCCTCAGCCTCTGGAGTAGCTGGGACTATAGGCAAGTGCCACCACACTTAGCTAAGTTTTTTTTTTGTAGAGATGGAGTTTCGCTCTTGCTCAGGCTGGTCTCCAACTCCTGGTCTCAAACAATCCTCCTGCTTTGGCCTCCCAAATTGGGAGCATTACAGGCGTGAGCCACCATGCCCAACTTCACATACTTTATTATTAATAAAAACTAAGTGATCACAACATTTACTAATATGCGCCTTTAGACAATTAAGATTCCTAATTTTCATGAATTTGTATGTATATTTTTTCTAGTCAAGAAGATAGACAAAGCAAGCAATTCAGTAAATAAACAAGATAATGACATTTTGTCAAAAGTATGTGAATGACAGGGTGATGTGAAAAAAGGACGTAGGAGTTTGGGAGGGCTCTGCTTTTGCTTTTACCCTGAGTAACTGGAGAAATGGTGACACTGTAATGAATTTCAAAGAAAGTGGATTCAAAGAAAGGGAATAGATACATTTTCTTTTGCACATTTGAGTTAGAGATCAGGAAATTTAAATGGAAATACTGAATGAGGATTTTAAACCATCAGGACTAGAAATGTACATTTCAGGGCCAGCTGCACAGAGGAGAAAATGAAAGCTAATGACTAAGTTTAAAGCAAAAAGAGCTTGTGAAGAAAGAGTGATAGCCACTAAGGAGACTGATAATAAAGTCGAGACACACAGGAATAGTATCAGTCAAGAATCATAAGAGAGAGCTCTAGGACACAAATAGAGGGATCATTTTTATGTACTTATTCATTTTATGTATATTTTTATTGGGGCAAAATATACATAAAATTTACCATTTTAGCCTTTTTTTTTTTTTTTTTTTTTGAGACAGAGTCTCACTTTGTTGCCTAGGCTAGAGTGAGTGCCGTGGCGTCAGCCTAGCTCACAGCAACCTCAGACTCCTGGGCTCAAGCGATCCTTCTGTCTCAGCCTCCCAAGTAGCTGGGACTACAGGCATGCGCCACCATGCCCGGCTAATTTTTTCTATATATATTAGTTGGCCAATTAGTTTCTTTCTATTTATAGTAGAGACGGGGTCTCGCTCTTGCTCAGGCTGGTTTTGAACTCCCGACCTCGAGCAATCCGCCCGCCTCGGCCTCCCAGAGAGCTAGGATTACAGGCGTGAGCCACCGCGCCCGGCCCCATTTTAGCCTTTTTTAAGTATATAATTTAGTGGCATTAAGTACCTTTATGTTATTGTGAGTGTACTTATACATCTCTGGAACTTTTTTATCACCCCAAACAGAAATTCTGTACCCAATAAACAATAACTCCTTATCTCCTCCCCTTTTCCCAGCCCCTGGTAACCACTATTAAATCTTCTGTATGGATGGATTTGACTGCTCTATGGACCTTATATAAATTGGAATCATACAATATTCATCCTTCTGTCTCTGGCATATATCTCATGTGATAATGTCTTCAGTGTTTATCGATGTTGTAGTGTGTGTCAGAATTTCATTCCCTTCTTTAAAATCAGTTTTATTTTAAATTGTAAAATGCGTATAACCTAAAATTTACCATCTTATCCATTTTTTTTAGTAACGTTAAGTACGTTCACATTGTTGTACAACCAATCTCCAGAAGTCTTTTCATCTTGCAAAACCGCAACTCTGTAAACATTAAACAATTTCCTATTCCCTCCTTTTCCCAGTCTCTGGCAACTGCCATTCTACTTTTTGTCTCTATGAATTTGACTGCTCTAGATAACCTCATATAAGTGGAATCATACGATATTTTTTTGTGTGTGTCTGGCTTATTTCACTTAGTATAATATTCTCAAGGTTCATCCGTGTTGTAGCTTTTTATTCTATAAGACAGACATTTTTCTTTCTTTTTTTTTTTTTTTTTGAGACAGAGTCTCACTCTGTTGCCCTGGCCAGAGTGCGGTGATATCAGCCTAGCTCACAGCCTCAACCTCAAACTCCTGGGCTCAAGCAATCCTCCTGCCTCAGCCTCCCTAGTAGCTGGGACTATAGGCATGTGCCACCATGCCTGGCTAATTTTTTCTATATATTTTTAGTTGGCTCATTAATTTCTTTCTATTTTTAGTAGAGATGGGGTCTCGCTCTTACTCAGGCTGGTCTTGAACTCCTGACCTTGGGTGATCCACCCGCCTCAGCCTCCTAGAGTGCTAGGATTACAGGCATGAGCCACCGCGCCCAGCCAACATAGGTTTTTCTAATACCTGTTTCATAGGATTGTTGTGAGGGTTGAATGAGTTAATTACACTTAACACATGTAGAACAATACTTGTTAATTAAGAGTACTGAATGATTTTAGTGTAGTATAGTATAAGTGCTTAATGATTGTAGCATAGGGATGAAAATATGTAGAGTTATGAAGAAGGTTGATAGGTGAGGGATGCTTAATGGCCTTGATGTCCTCAGCAAAGTAAAAATTGAAGTAATCTGATGACTCAGAGGAGGTTGTTAGGTGAGGGTCTTGAATCGGGTGAAGAAGGTTATAACTGACTTTTGGAGACTGTGAAATTTCTAATGGGTTAATAAAATGGTATTTGGAAAGTCCCATGAAGGTATTATAGGATAGACCTGCATGGCGTAGTATCTTCCTATAAGAATGTTCCATCCTGGAAGTTGCAAACTTCAGAACTCCAGGGATGATTAAGTGAGGATTTTGAGGATTGCCAGTGGTAGATGAACAAGGGATCAAGGAAGCCCAGGTGATGGTGAAGTCAGTAATGATGAATCAAAGCTTGGCACAGGAGCCCAGTAATATGATTGAAAGTTGCTGAGAAGGTATAAAATAGCTGGTTTAGAAAGTTTTGAGAGCTAGGGGAGATTGTAGTCAATTTGAGAGCATGCCAAGTTTGAG